AAACACGTTTAAGCTTTTAAATAATGATTAACTATGGCACCATTCTTGGTTATAAGTGTGACGAATGTTTTCTATATTTCTTTGTGGTTAAAAATTAATTTTCCTGATTAAATTTATAATATAAAGAGCATATAATTTAACTACAATATAATTACCAATTTAATATACAGACAACTTTTAAAATAACTTAAAAATAAAATAAAAATTAAATGCTAACCAAAATCTATCTTTATTTTTATTCTAGGAGAGCGTTGTGTTCATTTGGCTGCCGAAGCGGGACACATTGACATTTTACGCATTTTGGTATCCCATGGAGCTGACATCAACGCTAGGGTAAGTTAAAAGATAAATAATAAGTCCCAAGTAACCATACTAAATACGAATTTTTAAATTATGATTTTAACAGGAGGGCAAATCGGGCCGCACACCACTTCACATTGCGATCGAGGGCTGCAACGAGGATCTGGCCAACTTCCTGCTCGACGAGTGCGAGAAACTCAACCTGGAGACGGCAACCTTCGCCGGATTGACGGCCTACCAGTTCGCGTGCATCATGAACAAATCGCGCATGCAAAACATCCTGGAGAAACGCGGAGCGGAGACCGTAACGCCGCCAGACAGTGACTACGACAGTAGCGATATCGAAGATCTAGACGATACGAAGGTGAGCGTCACTGCTTAAGAAAATGTACCAAGAAAAGATCGTTGAGATCGAAATCGTAGACCGTAAGACACAATTTGAAATGGGCCACCACCAGCTTCCAAAATGTTCAAAAACTAAATAAGAAAGAAGTCCCCATCTGAACTGGTATTCAGTTGGAAAAAGAAATTGTTACACTTCATCAATGAACGAACCATTGTAACACTTATGTATTGTTAACCAAAAAAAATGAAGGAAAAACAAAAGAAAAAGAAAGCAAACAGCAGATGAGCAGCAAGTAAAGAAAATATCCGCACTAAACTGATTAGGGGATCTATGTTTTAGTAGACCCGTTAAAAAAAACAAATCGAACCAATAATACTGGTTGTAAACGATGCAGGCAGCCGCAAATATTTGGATGCTAACGCTGCACCGTTTACAATTAGCTTTACAAACCATAGACAAATACATAATATCAGGCCACCTTTGGTGCGTTTTAGAAATTTTTCTATACTCGTAAGGGAAAAGCACTGTACCACTTTATATTAAATTAAGCTGTCTATTGTAAAACTCGATGTTTGTTGCTATTTCTCTCCACCTACTTCTATGTATTTGTATGCCTGTGTCTGTATGTTTGTAATTTTGTATGTGCGTGCGTGAGTCAACCAACTAATCTATTATTATTACAAAAAATGGAATCATAATTCGTAGTACTAAGATAGCTAAATCTAATTGATGTTTTCATGTTCTGACTGAATGAAATGATGTTGCAAAATAAAAAATTTTACTCCACAAAAAAAAAATGCAAAAAAAATTAATAATTGAAATTGAAGTCTATGTTGTATGGATCTTAAAGGTTTGTAATTCTGTTTAGATTTGAAACATTTCCCACTTCATTGTTTACTTGTTCTTGTTATGTTGTTTGCTTATTTTTTCGCTTGTTGTGGCTTCTGTTTAAATGTTAAAGTTTTGCCTAACAATTTAATCCATTTAATTTTAACACGCTTTATTTGCGATCCTCTTCTTGTCCTTGCAGATGTACGATCGCTTTGGTGATCCGAGCTACTTTGTTAGCTACAACGGTGGCAATCCCATGACAGTTGCCTGAATGCCCCATCCAATCTGTACATACGACTTAGACTAAACATACACACACCTATGATTAACACAACCCGAATTCCCGACCTGGTTTAACTGCTGTTCCCAAAAGCACGCCCTTCCTGCCCACAAATGTATGCGCATTGACACACGTTCACAAAAAACCAGGAAATCCAGGAAATGGAACCCAATGTACTTACTATCCCAGCAAGTGGAAGCCCCCGAAACGAATTGAATTGCTTGTGTTAACGATAGTATTTAGAGCGAAATAAAGCATACAAGGATGCAGAATGTCAAGCATTTTATTTATACGCACACAAAACTTAACTCTAAGAAATAAAAGTAATTGACAAAATTTAATTATCCATATATCGTCGGTGGGGGCACAACACATTGAAGGATTTATCCATAATTACAAAGTACGAAACGTGGAAAGGGAACTAATAAAAAGGCAAATCATTCAAAATATATAATTGTCTAGTCTGGCAAAGAGGGAGAAAACAATTCCGCTCCTTAAACATAACTCCTAAGCTAAAAATAGGGGGTAAATCATGGCATTTAAAACAGGTCTAAAGTCGGATTAATCCCATTTAACGGATGCTCTGCCGGAAAACGCTCTGTTTGGCCTTGCTACTCGAAACGGATTTCTTGGCCGCCAAAGGATCGGGAGCAAAGCAGTTCCAGAGGCGCAGGGTTTCGTCTGCTCCGGCGCTGATTACGGTGCTGCCATCGGGGGACATGGCCATCTGCAGGACACGCGATGTATGCCCAGTTAAATCGGCTTGCTTCACCATGGTCGGGTACTTCCAAATGGTCAGTTGATTGTTGGCAAAGCCGTGGGCAGAGATCAGTTCCTTGTAGTGCCGCGAGAAGAGCAGCGAGCAGACCTGTGACTTGGAGTCCACCGATTTCATCAGAGTGCCATTGTTGACATTCCAGAACTTAATGCAGCGATCGGCGGTGCCGCCGCCAGAGGCCAAAGTGCTCGGTTGCCAGGGACACCAGGCCAGGGCTCGCACAGCTGCCTGGTGATCGTTGAATTTGTGCAGGGGATCGCTGGCAGTTCCCACGCCACTGCTGGCCGCAGACCACACATTCACCAGGTTGTCATTGCCACCGCTGGCCAGATATTTGTAGTCCGTGGACCACTTCAGGCCGCAAACCTCCTGCGTGTGTCCAGCCAAAGCGGACAGCTTGTGCTCCCGCGAACGGACATCGTGGTGGACAATGGTGCCATCCCGACTGCCAGAGGAAACCAGGAACGAGTTCCAGGCCAAGGATCCCACTCGGGCACTGTGTCCATCCATAACCCGCAGTCGCTTCACCTTGGAGCAGTCCCACAGCTCTACGGCACCAGTGCTGTTGCCAATGGCCAGGATCTGGCCTTCTTGGATCCACGACAGGGACCCAGCATAGTCGCCCTCCTCGAATTCCGTAAGCTGTTCGATGTTTCCAGTCTGAGCGTTCCACAAATAGACGCAGCTGCCCAAGGCGACGGCCACGATGTTGTCGGCACTCCAATCCATCAGATTGAGATCTGGAAAAAGATTATTAATTTTTGAGAAACGGATTAAATAAATAAACCTAATTTCAACCTACAGTAATCGTTTATAAAATCAGGAGCATCCAGAATTCTCTCGGAAGTGGTGGGTATATAGCGTGAGCCACTCTTCGTTGATATGGGCGTCTTTATGGAGTACACAACCTTCAGGGGATTGTTGTGCGATTCCGGAGCAGCTGGAGCCTTGTTTTGGTAGCACAAAATGCGGCCACCTTTCCCGTCGCCGACCTCGGCCACCTCTGAAATGAGCTTCTGGCGCTCGCCCTTGTGAGCCGAAGCCTGGATATTGCTCTCGTTGCTGTTGCTGGTGGTGGCCTTGTCGTTCTCCTCGTCAGACTTGTCGCCGGAGTCCTTGTTTACCTAGATAGCATATTGTATTAGTATGCATTTATATGAAAACAAAATAAAAAATTTTCCTTTTTAGAGAAGTAAGCTATGTACGTGAGAAATAAGTAATTCGAGTAAGATTAAGATTCTTTAAAACTGGAAAGATATTTCTCATAAAATTAGTTCAAAATGGGATCTGATACCTTAGGTATACGAGGAATAGGTCCCAAAAGAATGTGCGTTTATGATAGACTTTGAAGGACATGTATTTTGGCGAAAATGATCTTCAGATCGCGACTTAAACATGCGTTTACTTTAAACTACCATCTATAGTTATATGGTGGCTTTCTTTTCTTACCAGAAAGTGCGCCAACTCAAAGTTGGTGTAGGAATTTATATGACTACAAAATGAAACATTATTAGTTGATAATACGAGAAAGATCAATACTGGAAAGATATTTCTCATGAAATTAGTTCAAAATGGGATCTGATACCTTAGGTATACAAGGAAAAGGTTCTAAAAAATTTGACTTGGAAGGACATGTATGTATGATATCTAACTTGGCGAAAATGATCTCCAAAACGCGACTTCAACATTATTTTATTTTAAATTACCATATATAGTTATATGGTGGGCTTCCATTCTTACCAGAAAGTGCGCCAACTCAAAGTTGGTGGCCGCTCGATTCGGGATGAAGCGATCACCGCCTCCAGGAGTCTTGGTCGGCGTGGTTGTGGACTTCTTGGCCTTGCCCTCGCTGCTCTTTCCCGGGGTCTTTGTGGGCGCCTGGACCCCCGAGAAGCTGGTGTTATAGGAGACGGACAGGACCGATCGGGTGGTACTGGCACTTCCATTCAGGGACGCCTCCAGCTTCTTCTTCCACCGGGGCGCAGGACCGCGCGTCTCCCCGTCCATGATCAAGGCATTTTGCAAATCGCTCACAAAGTTGAACTGCGACATGGTTTTCCGCTGCTTTAAGGTGTCAGGTAGTTTCTGTATTTATTACACAATTGTCTGGGACTTGCACGAGAGGCGTTTGAATTTCATAGATCACTCAGATCACAATTTTATTTCTTGGTTTTCGGAATGCAGCATAAATGGCGGTTCGATTTGGAAAAGCAGTATGACCGCAGGCGAATAGCTGTGAATAGTATTTTTAATAACTGGATAAAAATACCAAAAAATTAACTATTATAAAAAATATTTAAAAAAAATTAAATATACGTATACCTAAAATACGTAGAATGCTTATTTCAAAAAATAATTAAAATATAGAATTGTTTAAAAATTAGTTGTTATTTTTTAACCGCCTTTTTAGTATGACCATTTATCGCAGCACGTCCCTCGAATTTAATGCATCCCTGGCGCACAGCTGTCATCATCGCCGCCCTTGTAAAAAAACAAGTGAGTCTCCCACAATTGAAAGCCGAATTTTACGTAAATAATTAGCAAGTCAGTTTGTTTAGCACCTGAAAGACGTGCTCCAGCGACATTACAAGATGGCCTTCAACTTCACCGCCTTTACGTACATTGTGGCGCTGATCGGCGATGCGTTTTTAATATTTTTCGCAATTTTTCATGTCATTGCGTTCGACGAGTTGAAAACCGACTACAAAAACCCAATTGATCAGTGCAACAGCCTCAATCCGGTCAGTAAACCTGGTGTTTACCCTCGAAGTTAGTCACTTAATTGAGATTATTGTATTTCAGCTGGTTTTACCGGAGTACTTGCTGCACATTTTCCTGAATTTACTTTTCCTGTTCTGCGGTGAATGGTTTTCACTATGCATCAACATACCACTCATAGCCTATCATATTTGGCGGTAAGTGACTCATTATACCAGGCAAAAGTAACCAATATACTAATGGTTCTGCAACTTTTAGCTACAAAAACCGCCCTGTGATGTCTGGACCCGGACTCTACGATCCCACCACGGTCCTGAAAACCGACACTTTATCGCGGAATATGCGCGAGGGTTGGATTAAGCTGGCCGTCTACTTGATCAGCTTCTTCTACTACATATACGGGTAATTATAATTGATTTCCTGGGTGGCCGGGTTCCTTGCATTTGTCTAACGTTTCTCGCTAATTTTAGCATGGTTTATTCGCTCATCTCGACATAGAGGGCATTGAGGCAGCTGCCTGGGGATCTCATTGTTGGCGCCAGCGCATCCGCATCGTGTATTAGTTGTCATAACTCGGGCAGAGACTCCCTTTTTGGGGGGGAATCTCCATCAACAGCGAACAATACTTCACTTGTAAATTCTAGTGTAAATCCATAAAAACATCTTGCAGCTTTGTTTTTTTTTTATAATTTTTAATCTATTGTCTGCAGTAAGAGATTGTAATGTGTTTTTATTTTGATTATTTTGCATTTCGCATCCTTGGTGTGTAGTTGGATTTTAAGCGTAAATAAAAGTCAAATCGAAGTAACCAATTTTTTATTTTTCTGTTTAGCTTGAGGGATAGCGGAGTCTTTGACTGAACACGAGGAACATGGAGCAACCAGCACTTTAGATAATAAAGATTGTGAAAGGTACTTAACGTTATCAGCAGGGCCAACATAGATATTGACCAAGTTGGGCAATAATGATTAGCAAGCATTTTTCATGTAATTTGTTAAGCAATATTTAAATTTCTTACACTATCTACATTGAGCAAAAATAAAAATATATTTATATGAAACATAAGTATAAACATTTAAAAGATAAGAAGCGGTATGATTTTGGAATGAATTAATAATTTAATATATATTTAAAAAAATAAATTAATGTTCATACTTTTATGCATCATTGAAAATCACCCCCTAGTTTTCCAGATAAATGCGCTTTCCTTTAGTACGTATTTATAACTTTATTTTACAATCGTTCCGGGAGGCCACAGCTTGGAATAAACAATATTGTGATTGAATCTTGATTAACTTAAAATGCTGTATACAAGGGTAGGTACATGGGGCGTTTAATGGGCAACTGGCGTTTGATTACGACATAAAAACAACGAAGAACAGGAAGAAGAATATGAGAACGCCGAATATCTTGATCATCAGCCAGCGGTTCTTGGAGACAGACTGAAAATACTTCAGGATCTCGCCATGAGCCGCCTCAATATTCAATTCCGCATCCGCCACATTTGTGTCGATGCGCTCCACGATCTCCTCCTGTTCCTTTACCATATGCGCCAGCTGCTGGAAAATGCCACCCAACTCGACGATGGTAGATTCTATATTTTGCATGGTTTCCGCCCGCTGCTGGACGTAGTTATCCGAGTCATCGTAGACGGCCATCTGCGTTTGGGTCGACAGGAGCGGTGTGGTGTCGCTGCTTCCCATGTCTATGCTCACCGCTTGGTTCTCCTCGCTGAGGAGCAGCGAACCCTGCTTGGCCGTCGACGGCGAGACGGTGTGAGCGGCCAACGGACCTGGTCCCTGGCTGAACTGATCACGTCGCGTCTTCTGCTGCTTGAGGTTCTCTGTGCGCACTTCCAAAATCTGCTTGAAGTCCGTGCTCATGCTGGCCAGCTTGGACTGCAGGGCCAAAACCATGTTGGAGGAATGTGACACCAGGTGTTTGCCGTTCGTGTGACGCCGCTGGTCCTTGGAAATCTCCTGCAGTCGGGCGATCTGTTGATTCAACGCATTGAGGTCGCCCTTGATGATGTACGTCAGCTCCTGGATCTCCTGCGGTCTGTCGTCGAATAGACTCTTCTTTTTGGCCACTGAAATGGATGGTATGGTATTATAAAGGTAATAACTTAATTTCAATTAATTACGTACACATGGTGAGCTTCTCTAGCTTGGAGTAGGTGCTGGCTATGTTCTTGCCGATGAACCTGGCCACCATCATGAACTCCGAGTAGCTCTGCACCTGCTTGGCCTTGCGGGGATCGCGAATATTGACGGCCCGCGTGATGTTGCGTGCCTGCAGGGATCGAATCGCGTTGGCGAACTCGCCCGTGCGATCGCGGGCGGCCATGACGAAGATCTCTGGCTCGGGTTCCGGTTCCTCAAGCTCCTGCTGCGATTGCTGGTAAAACTGCGAACTGGTCGGAATGGAAGCGGGATTGTAGCTGTTGTAGTTACTTTGGCTATAACTGTTGGCGCCCGGTTGATTTCCGGTCACGACGGCGGCGGCGGCAGTCAAGGTGCGCAGTGCCTGGCCAGAGAAGGCTCGCAGGTTCCACTGGCGAGCCGCCTTGCCGTACTTGTCGTCGGAGTAGTCGGCCGCTGCAAGGGACTGGCCCGACTGGCTGGTGTCTCCAATGTGGATGGCCGCCTCGTGGGCAGTCGGTGGTTGAACCAGGGACTGCGCTAATAGTCCCACTGATCCGCCAGCTGCTCCCGTGGCCCCAGATCCTGCGCCTGCTCCTCCCTGCTGATCCTCTTGAATGGTATAGGTACTGCTGCTGTAATCCTGCTGGTCCGTTTGATGGAGGCGTCTTCGGGTTTGCATCTCATTTCAGATTGCAGCTTGTCCCGGGGAGTTGACGTTGCCGTTTTCTCATATGCACACTGAAACGATCTGAACTGTTGGACTTTCCCACGGTTGGCGAAATTTTCCCCTTTGTTTTTCTCTCGTAAAGCACTGGTTTTGCGTTCGTTTTTCCGCTCCGCACTTAGTTGGCAGTCCTGTGTGTCCTAGACAAAGTATAATTTGGATTTTGTTTAGGCATTTTCCTTGGGTTTTGTCGAAAATTCATAATAATTGTTAAAGATTGCAGAAAACTCACTCACACGCACCCGCACACACTCATCACACACACACACGAACACACCTCACAGATGACAGATGACGTGTTGATATCTAAGCAACTATCGATAGGCGCCAGAGCTAGCGGCCATTCTGTTTTCCCGTCAAAACTAGCTATATTAAGCTCAGCTAAGAATAAGTTGCTATTAAAAAATGTTGCATTTATGGGATAACATTTATTTAGCTAAGATTAAGCTTAAAAGCAATTAAAAACTGAAGTTTTTTGTTTGAGAAATAATTGCTTTATTTTATAGCAATATTGGCTTGTAAAATTCTAGCCCTAGCTATTTTCCCTCCATAAGCCCCGGCAGCACTGACATGCACATATCGATAACCAACGGCGAGCAACGCTAGTTTTTTTCTTTTCAACTTTTAATTCTTCTCTTAATTAAGCCAAATAAAATAGCCATAGTTTATAAAAGAAAATGACACTGTATCACTTTGGAAATTGCGTGGCCCTGCTGACGCCGTACTACTTCACCTACAAATACTCCGGCCTGTGAGTTTCCCGCTGAATTGCCTTTGCAAACTGCCAAGTCCGCAGCTCCGCCAGGTCAATGAAAATATTTATGAATTGTCCCGGTTCTTTTTTATTATTCACAGCTCAGAATATGGAGCCTTCTGGAAGTGCGTGCAAGCGGGCGGCATTTACATATTCACACAGCTCGTCAAGATGCTCGTACTGGCCACATTCTTCTACTCGGACGCACCTTCCTCCAGCGGCGAGTTTAACTTCTTTGCGGTGCGTGTGCTTATCTTTATTTACTTAAATTATTAAGGTTAAGTTGTGTGTGCTCTCTGATTTTAGGAGATCTTCAGGTGCAGCGTGGACATCGCAGATCTGCTGGGATTCGCCCTCATCCTGAGTCGCATTCCCGGCAAGGGACACTCCAAACTTATTACCGCTGGACTTGGCTGTAGGTTGAACCAAGTAACTTAATTAAGCCGATAGTGAGGGTAGATTTAGAAGACCGGAAGTCTAATGTTTGTATTCCATTGAGTAGCTGAGGCATACATAGATTATATACTTCTTTAAAAACCTATTAAATCCATGCTAATAAGTTTTAACCTTTGAAAAACTAATGAATAATGGAATTTAAACCATTTCCCTCATCATAACTAATAATATTATCTTTTCCAGGGGCCACTGCCGAGGTGATCCTTTCCCGAGGCATTATGCTGTGGGTGGGAGCCCGAGGGACCGAGTTCAGCTGGATCTACATACTCAAGTGTCTGGAGTCGAATGTGCTCCTGGTGCAGCACATTACCACGGCCACCCTCATCTGGCTGTTCACCCGTCACGATCTGAACAAGGCGCTGAAACCGCTGGTTAGTCTGCTGCTGGCGGTGACTGTTTTCAAGGGCGTTTGGCTGGAGGGCATGCTCCACATCCTGACCATTGGACCCTGGCTGACGGTGGCTGTGAAAGCGCTGGTTGCCGCCGTTATTGGATTCTGCACGCTCCACATCTATTCGGGTCTGGCCCAGCAGATCGGCATTTAATTGATTGTGCCAAACACTTTGTATTCTTTTTGTTTTGTAATTTGTTTATTTTTTGGTGTTGTCACAGAGAGTATGAGATTTTGTAACGAAGACAACAATTACGGTTTAGAGAATTACCCAAAATGTTAATGAATTATAGCTATGCTAACGTAATAGTAACAAAGTTTAAACGATTTTTATTGGGCTCAAATTTAACAATCTCAAAGTAGAGACGGTAATGACAATGGTACAACATATTTTAACTTTTTTCTAGACTAGGAAAAATAATAACATATTGGTTATCTATGCCCAGTTTAACAATAACAACGTAAAGATGAAAATGAAGTTATGATAACGAGTATTGCTTAGAAAATTGCTTAGCTTAGCTACGAGATGTTGATGAAAATGGTACAAAATATTTAAAGTAGGAGAATTGCTGACTTTTGACTACGATAACGTAATAGTAAATGATAAAGAATTAACATTTACAGAATTAACAAATACCAAATTTGTGGTGATTACCGAGAAAACAATAGTTTATAGTCCCATAGACTTGTTTAAAAATATTTAGTAATACTCGTTTTGCAGAAGATTTTCTATGAGCTTAGCCGATTCTTTTCCTAGAGTAATTTCGTCCATTTCAATGGAGTTGTCTAGCTTTGAGATGTCTATAAAGTTGTCCCGAACTAGATCTGGAATTAAATATTTCCTTGGTATTTCCTATTGCCTATTTTATTTTTAACTTACACAACAAATGAAGAAAGGCTAGAGAAGCCTTGATGCGATCTGGAAAGGATTTAATGAAAGCATTGGCGTTGATTCCCGTGATTTCTGGATTATTACGCCAGATGTTTAAGAGATCCATCATTACGCTGTGGGTATCTGTCAATAATTGAAATTTTAATTAGATTGTCATGCTTTGTGACTGAGTTCATCTCACCAAAATTATTATTTTCAAAGTTTATACTTTGTCCGTACAAATTGTTATTATTGATTGGTTCATGTACATCGATGGAAGGCACTGGAGGTGTTAAAATGTCTTCCATTTCAAGGGGAACGGGCTGATTAATATTATTATTTTCAAAGTGTATACTTTGTGCGTACAAATTGTTATTATTGATTGGTTCATTTACATCGATGGGAGGCACTGGCGGTGTTAAAATGTCTTCCATTTCAAGGGGAACTGGCTGATTAAGATATTCCTCTTTATTTCTTGAATTTCTCTTTTTAGCTGGCTTAACAAAAATCTCCTTTGAGAGGGTGTCCGTAAATTCGCTTCCAAAAATGGTTCTCAAGGTATTTTCAGCCTCGAATTGCATTTCTTCTTCACTTGATTTAACGACGGTGTAATTTTTAAAATCTGGAAAAATTACACTGAAAACAAAAACTCAAAAATTGAATGCTACAAACAATAATTTGTTTCTTACTTGTTATTCAGTTTACATAGAAGTTCATTTGGGGTTTTTCGTAGTTCGGATGGTTTTCTTACTAGAACCACTTTCGAGACATGATCATCCATATATTTGCGCCTATGCTTTATAAGTTCCTCTTGAGTGTATTCAATGCGCTTGTCTACTATCAGCTTTCTCTTACGAGAATTTTTTGGCCGACTAAAAGTTATTTCTGAAATAGGCTCAACCAATGATGAAATTAAAGGTTCACAGCATATTTGAGTTATTTCAGCTGGCTCAATGTTATTTGGAAAGATTTGGGTCATAATAGCATTGTCAGCCTGGAAAATGTCCAATTCGTCCAGTCTCGGCATTTTATCGGGTAAAATGTCAGCTGGATCCTGGGTTACAGAGCGACGCTTTACTGTTGATAAAAAGCAATTAGTTGAATGAAATTTTGAAATTGATAATTTCTTACAGGACTCCCTTTCGGCGTCTTTGGGGAAAAGTTCGTGAAAAATGGTTAGGTCCAAATTATCGCCATCGCCAAAACCATCAGTTGGTATAATATTGCTCTGATCTTGGTGAATTTGAATCTCTTCGGTAAAGGTAAATGCTTGATATGAGTTCGATTGCGTACAACTTCTGAGTGGTTCAACCGACTGTTGATATTAAAAATAAATATATAAAGAAGAAGGGGCTTAACAGTTTTCTTTAATGGCCCACCTCGTCTAAGTCCTTGACCACCTGCACCTGTTGTGTGCACTCCGATTGCCACATCTGACATTCAAAAAGTATTTTTCTAAAATACTTATGAGCAGATTGGTTTAGAAGTTCCGGCTCCTCCAATCTTGGACGTTTGGAGACGGTGATCTTGGATTTCTTGGTGATCACACGCTTCCGTTTGCGTTGGACTCGATTCTCCGACTCCTTGACGACTACAGATTTTGTGGTAGTGAGAACGAAATCCAAGTTGGTACGTTTCATTTGCTCCATCAAAAGTTTGGTGTCCCCTAAAAGGATGTTAATCAACATAACATATTCGAATACTCAATAAAATTCCTACCCAAAAGTATGTCCACCTGGCATCTATAAATATCGGTGGCTCCGTAGGCCAAACGCGAAATGTCCTTAAAACTGACATTTCGCTTGTTCCCGGCTTCCAAACAAGGTTCCTCTATTAAATCAATGATTTGATTGCTAAAAAGGAGATCAATTAGTGTGGGAACTCGGATAAATACATAGTTATTGTATTTACTTACCAACAAGCCACTATATCGACCCCTTCGATCTCGTTCCGATCGATTGCAAAGGCAGAGTGGGACTTGCGGGCTCGGCCTCCGACTCTCCAGCACGAATCGAGGATGTTTCCCTCAAACAAATCCAAGTCCAGCTTAGGTATCGCCATCCTAACTACTACATTAAGTACTTAAATCATACCCCGATTGGGTATTTACAAAGTTATTTCCAAAAAAGTTAAACTTTTGGAAAAATGGCGCCCGAAACAAAGTCCGTGCAGCCAACGGTAAATTTTTTTTCGCAGCCCTGAAGACACTAGAGGTGACAGACATGATCAAAATATCATATCGATATTAAATAAGTTAGGCACAAGTTTTAAATTCAATTGATAAAACTGTTTGGGGAACATCAAAATGTAAGGTCGTTAAAGTTAAATAAAAATTAATTAATATTAAATTGTATTTTATAGGAAATAGGCGAATAGGTAAAAACTATTTTGAATCCTAATTATTAGTTTTGAAGATTATCTTGTTTACAAAAACAACATTTCAAATTTAAAATTTTTAATGTAACGAAATATATGTCGAAGACATAAACCTTATTTTTTAAATTTGCCTATGCGATTTTTTTAAGGAACATCGTTTCACGAATCTACGATATTTTTCGGTAAATTCGTGAGAAGTTTCGACGTTCAGAGAACGGTCTTACTGCAGGAAAGACAACAAAAAAACCAAATAAAGGAAAGAACAGACAGATAAATTTAAATATTTACTAAAGGAAAAGTGATAACTAATACCCGACGACAACTGCCAAAGAATCCGCTATCCCCAGATTCCCCCCAAAACTTGAGAACTAAAGCTATGGTAAGAGGTTTAAGAGGACGCTTCGTAAATCAATTACCAAAATGAAAACATGACTAATATAGGAGAGTGGGCGTGTTTTTGTTTGTGTTTTTCGATCGGCGACTGCTGTTCCCAGATAACATTGGTGATTCCAGTTCATTAATCATTCAAATCGGTTTTTTGCAGGGTGATAACAAAATATGCGACATTAGCAACGAAGTTCTGGAGGAATTGAAGAAGTTTCGGTTCAGCAAGAGCAAAACTAATGCGGCTTTGATATGTAAGGATTTATTGCCATGGTAACAAGGGTTCTAGTTCTATAGCCCCGTATTTATCCATTCCAGTGAAAGTTGACCGAGAGAAGCAATCGGTGGTGCTGGATGAGTTCATCGACGATATTTCAGTTGACGATCTGAGGGAACAATTGCCAGGACACCATCCCCGATATGTGATCTATACTTACAAGATGGTGCACGACGATCAGCGCGTTTCCTACCCGATGTGCTTTATCTTCTACACTCCAAGGGATAGTCAGGTGAGCTTATAGTGAGCCATAAATATTAAAAAAAACTAATTTGATTTCCTCGATTTCAGATCGAACTGCAGATGATGTACGCCTGCACGAAGGGCGCTCTACAGCGCGAAGTGAATCTCACTCGCGTTTACGAAATCCGCGAACTGGACGAACTCACCGAGGATTGGCTGAGAGCCAAGCTCAAGTAGAGAGGCTACAATCTCCTCTGGATGTAATCATTCCGGGCCGTTGTCAAAAGCAATATTTTATGATAGTTCTTCGATTGATTTTGGAGCTTTTTATAGACATATTCAAAACTGGATCAAGCCGATACCAACGATGCATACCAATACCAAACAAACCAATATTGAGATACGACAATTTTTACCTACAGAAAACACAAATCAAGCTAAGTTTTTTACAACGTAATGACAATTTTATATAGACGAGCGCATGCGACAATTATGCGTGATTTAGTGATTTTAGTTCTTGCATTTAAGTAATAATCTTTATAGAAGCTGTGCTTGCCAAATTTCTACATACATGTATTTATTGTAAAGATGTAAAAGCAAACATGACAAGAATATTCCATTTTATATAGACAAAATAAATAAACGTGTTCAATATTATAAACCGAAGACGGGATAGGAGATATTTATTATTTATTTTAAATATATATTATACCCCACTACAAGGTACCCTAACTATTTTGAAACTAAACTAGTTATGGGATATAAATTAGTAGTTCTATACACTATCTTAAAATTATGTTATTGTAATACTTTAGTAATGCAATCTCTGAGCCGCCGTGTGGTGCAACATCGTGTAGCGCCCTTCGCTGGGCGTGGGCGGCGGAGGCGGCGGCGGAGCCAGCATATGAGCCATGGCAGCCATTCCCATTTGGGTGGCCGGATTCGGAGGGCCCAAATGATGCAGGGCATCGTGATGATAGTGATGCGACATGGGGGGTGCAGGTGGTAGCGGCAAGTTTAGCAGATTATTGTTGGCCGCATGTGTGCGGAAATGCAAGCTAAGACTGTCCGCCGTATCGAAAGCCTTGTCACAATCCGGGCACTTGAAGTGGGCGTGATCCAGGGTGTCCAGACCCACGGGATCCGTGTCAATGGGCTCGTCATCATCGTCGTCGACTATATCATGATTCGTACTGGACTCCAGAGGATGGAGTTTCAGCTTATGAGATCGCATGTCCCTCCGCCTGCTGAAAGCCTTGCCGCAAACATCGCAGTGATGGTTTTTAATACCAGTATGGGTAATCATGTGCTTGGACAGATCACCGGCTGTGTAGAAGCCCTTCTGGCACAGCGAGCATATCTGGTCCCGCACCCCGACATGAATCTTCTGATGCGCCTGGAAATTGCCCAGCGCCGAGAACTGTTTGGAGCATATTTCGCATTGAAATGGCTTGTCGCCCGTGTGCGTCCGTTCGTGGACTTTGAGGTTGTACTTTTGGGCAAATCTCTGGATGCAAAAGCTGCATTGATAGGGTTTCTCGCCTGTATGAGTTCTAATGTGCTGCGTGAGTTGGGCGATGCACTTAAAGCTCTTGTGGCACTCGTAGCAGGTGTGGGGCATCTTTGGCACCGGTTTGGGCCCCCGTTTCTTGTGCTCCTCCGGCGGCTTCCGTTGATAGCGCGATCGCCTCTTGCCCACTTTGGTGTCCACCGGCTCCTCCTCGTCGCTGTCGCGCTGAGGAAGCGAGGGCTTCTCCACAAAATCCGTGTTGGTGGCCGCATCTTGGCGCCAGGACTCGAGGATACCAAGATATTGGCGTAGCCGAAGGTCGCTGTTCTCGCATTCCTGCTTGAAATGGAAGGCGACTCCCAGCCGATAAATGCAGTTGTTGCAGATCACCGAGGGCAAACCGTCGGTTTTGAACACCTAAAATATTTTATTTATTTGTTTATTATTCTTTTGTTTGGCTTTTTGAACTCACTCTAATTTTGGCACATTGCATCAACATCACCGAGGGCATCATGGCAAAGTCTGTGCTATAAATCGAGGTCACAGGATGCAGCTCCTCCAAACAAACACGACATATTTTGTGTATATTATAATCCATCTTTTAATTTTAATTTAACAATTTTAAAGAAATCAACAAATAACTGCTGGTCGAGTTTTTCTCTCAACAGCTGATTAAGACCAGGGCTGCAAGGGTACAGTCAACACTCAAATGTGTTAAACTATTATAGAATATGTTTTTATTTTATTTGTATTTATTATTTACATGCCTCAAAATTAAATGAGCTTATTTTCCTAAATCGGCTTTTTGAGGAACTCGTTATCTGTATTGTTCATCATAGCTAATGTGCCCTGTCCAGAGATTGGTTATATCGATAGATGTTAAAAGATTTCAAAACGAAAGCTTATTAATTCAACATAATTGTACACATATGAATTAAAAGCTTATATCACTATTTAAGTTGCATTTATATATTACTACTTTAATTTATAAAATTAAAAATGGTTGGCACAACCAGGGCTGCAAAAATACAGCAGTGCTGCCAGACACCGCGAAAAGGTGTGACCTTCTTTCGTTTTTGCGCTGACGTGACGTGACAGTTGATTTGTTTGATTAAAATAAATAAGAGAAAAGTCACAGATAAATTGATTTGCGGCGGAATCAATTGATACTGAAATCGGTAGCCGGAAAAGAAGACGCAGTCCCCAAAAGAGCAGAATAGAACGCAGCAAGATCGATCGGCGGAGCGGAACAGGAGAGGAGAGAGAGCCAGAGCGAGAGCTGCACGGGTGAAATTTCGTGGTTTCGGGACCCCCTGAGCCCCCAGCTCCCCCACAATATAACCCATTCCCCACTGGCAAGATGCTGTGTATACAATATTAGCGATTATCGAAAGCAGGCAGCGCATGTGCCGGCATCCGAAAAACACTATTTAATATTTAAGCTTTTGTAAACAAATTGCGGAGAGCAGGAGACCAAGGTCGAGCAAGCCGACGAATACGAATACGAATACCTGGTGAATAGGTTTCGTTTCGCTTCGCCCCAAAGTGCCAGTAATCCCGTGCAGCTTGCAATGTCCACAACCAGCCAGCTGTTGCCCAACGGCAGTCTGTCCAGGAATGGCAAGACCAAGAAGGAGGATGAGGAGGAGGTGGAAGTGGGCTCGGGATCTGGAACTGGAACTGGAACTAGTGCAGGTGCTGGAAAGGCTACACTAACGGGACTAACAGGACACCCATCCTCATCCACATCCGGCACCTTTATGAAACTGAAAACCTATCTCCTAGCTCTGCGTCCCTGGTCACTCTCCGCCAGTCTGGTGCCCACGCTTCTCGGCTCGGCGCTGGCCCACCGCTCCCAGTGGGCGGCGGAGTTCTCGCTGGCCACCTTCTTCCTCACCGCCTTCACCGTGGTCACCGTCCACTGCGCCGGCAACGTGGTGAACACCTACTTCGACTTCATCAAGGGAATCGACAAGCAGAAGGCCGACGACCGCACGCTGGTGGACCACATACTCACCAAGGATGAGGTGAGTAATCGATGGGATCGATCAATTAACCCTACAATTTCCAGGGCCGCCAATTATTAATACCAAATTCCTGAAATGTTCCGAATGTTTATTTTTATTTGTACAATTTATAAGTATTTCAAGATGAAAGTATTTGAAAATTTCTGAATGGAATTTCCAGTAATATAGAACATTTATGGATTTCCAATTATTTTTATATTCAAAAATTGCGCACACTACTTAAAATATTTCGTATAATCACTTACAATATATAAATAAATTTCCATAATTTGCATACATTTTGGATTTGCCTGATCACACTTTTAAAAATTCTCAATTGGAATATACCTTACTGAGAAAACTATTCACTTAATCACTTCGCATGCGGGAAGGCTAAAAGCTATTAACTATGAAATAGTTATTGCGAATAATTCTGCATCATTAAATGCAAAACGTGATTTTCAGTTGTAGAGAGTTAGAATATTGACATGATGGTGCATAAGTTAAGTAATTTATAAATTGTTTTCTTTTTGAGGATTTGAGATTATTCACTCAAAAAATATAAACACTTTCTGGAGTGAATGAATTTCACCAGAAAATAAATTCTTTTGATTTGCGTTGAGTAAAAATCGTGTTGCAATCATAAACCATTTTATGAACCGAGGAGATTTTAAATATCAAATTCTTATGGCAATTAGCAATGTACTAATTTAAGTCAAGGGCATACATTTAAGTAGGAAGTTTGTTTAAAAACAAATAACAAGAAAAATTAAAAACAAAATATATAAGGACATTATAAAATTATTTTGAATACAAATATACTCCGGGCATTCAGGAGTCAAGTGACTGACAATTCAATTACTTACAAATTCGATTAACACATTTATTAATAATACGTTTTTGTTAATTTTCAGGTGGTTTCGCTGGGTGCCATTCTGTACATGGCTGGCTGCGGTGGTTTCGTTTTGCTGGCGGTGCTTAGCCCGGCGAAAATGGAACACCTGGCGCTTATCTACTTCGGCGGACTGTCCTCGAGTTTCCTGTACACAGGAGGCATTGGTTTCAAATACATCGCCCTGGGGGATCTGGTGATACTGATACTCTTCGGACCCATCTCGGTGCTTTTCGCCTTCATGTCACAAACGGGTCACGTGGACTGGACCACCATGGGCTATGCGATTCCCCTGGCCCTCAACACGGAGGCCATCCTGCACAGCAATAATACCAGAGATGCGGACAACGATCGGCGCGCTGGAATCGTGACACTGGCCATTTTAATTGGACGCACTGCCTCGCATGTTCTGTACGCCATGCTGCTCTTCGCACCCTACTCGCTGTTCTTTATCTTCGGCCTGAAGTACTCCCTGTGGTTTCTGCTGCCACTGGTGACCCTGCCGCAAGCCTTCCAGATAGAGAAGCGCTTCCGCAACGAACAGACGATGCACTTGGTGCCACGACAAACGGCCAAGCTGAACTTCTTCTTCGGCATCTTGTACATCGTGGCCTGCTGCTGTGCCAGCCAGTTGCCCACCTTTGGATTCCGGAAAAATTGATAGACGGAGATGATTGATATACGGATCAGGCAGAAAAACAGAATCAGAGAGAAACTGGTGCAATGTTTTTTTAGGGAATTTCATTAGGTTTTAGTCAATGTGTGTGTAGCGAGGAGGCAGAACGAAGCTGTGTCAGTTTCCCCGCGGTTTTGATGTTGCGCAAATTTTGAATGCCTGCTAGTCGCCCGTTAGAGTTTAAACTTTTGAACTGAACATATCCTAGCCCTAATGGGTCGATTCATTTGACGGAAAATCTAGAGATAAATATATGACATTTTGCAATAGATATTACAGGCCTAATATCAGCTTAACAGTTTACTATATCAAATCCAGCGATAAACCAAGAATAATATTCAAACATAAATGGCCTGGCCTTTTTCCAGATTAGCCGATTTATCCAGTCTTTTAAAAATAAATTAATAACCTTTATTCCTTTATTTCTGAGCTCATTTAACTAAAAGTATGATATTAGACCTTTAGTTTCTGTATCAAAAATTTTATAAAATCTCCAAAGATTTGTTCACTACCTACAATATCGACCCCAAGCTATCCCACTCGTTTTTATTTATTTCACATCGTCACAATCTTAAATCCTAACCAATCAATTACGACTCAATGTAATTAATAATCATACTCTTCCTCTCGCGCGTTGGGAATTACGGACCAAGAAAGTTATGTGCAACAGTAACCAGTAATGCTAATGCAGATGCATACCCAATTTTATATTCTAAAATATATATATCACCACATTCATACTGGTGCAGATACTTAAGTTTCGCGAATCAAAATGCAGATTTACTTTACGAATAGAAGTGCTTGAAAGTGCAGCTAAGTTGAATGTTTTTTGGCAATTGGCTGGCTTGCTTTTTGTGTAACGAATGTTAGAGTTTTTACATATATTATATACACGAACACGAGCATATATTTATATACACATCTAGATCATGTAAGCCCAGTGTCTAGCGGCAGGCTCAGAGTGAGAATATCAAAGAGAAATCAAGAAAAACCTATGTAAAACGACAAGAGAACAAAAGTTACATTTTTAAATAACTATAAACGTAGATGTCGAGGCGAAGGAGCAAACATTGTTTTCCATTAACAATAGCGTATGCATATAAACAAATAGCTTTAAATAACAAACAGAGGAGGAGAAAGCCAAAACCCATTCGCATTATAATTCATTGTGTAGCTGAACATTTGTGGCAATATTTATTTGTACGCTAGTTTTTTGTATATTCATTCATTCTTTTGTACAACGCATAGAGAAATGCTTCTGTTGGAATCGCTCAACGGCCGAGTTGAATTGAACTAAGTGAAAACTTTGTAGACTACAAATCAACAACAAAATGAACAATAATAATTATAATGATATTGATAATTAAATGTTTAATTAGAGAATGTAAACTTGAATTGTGTAATATAACTGATGTATAATTTATTGAATGTGAAGAAAGTGGAAGTGGGGGTTTCATTACGAATGAAAGAAGTGGAAATATGCTTTGAAGAAACTTGTATATTTGATTTTACTGCAAAAATAAGTTTAGGTACACCATAATCCATGACTTTAATTCAACATTAATAGAACCCTTCCTAACTCGATTGTTGCTCTCTAGCTACCAACATGATGTCGTATGGCTTCACGGCAGCGGTGGCTCCTTCGAGGGGAATCTCCTCCGGCACCTGACCAGGAATGGCGACCATTTTAAAGTTCTGCAGCACTGTGGTCGTGAACATAAACAGATTCTGCCTGCCCAACAAATCTCCCATGCAGCGATGACGTCCGAATCCAAAGGGATTGAAGGCTTCCGGTAGTTTCAAGTGACCATCGAAGAGGAACCGCTCGGGATCGAATGCCTCCGGATCGGGAAAGTCCACTGGGTTGATGAGCATTCCCCTGAAGCAAGCTATTACCATTGTGTCCTTGGGTATTTCATATCCCGACAAGCGAGTATCGCAGACAGCTCGATGTGGAATGCCAAAAGTGTGCAGCATAAACATTCGGACCGCTTCCAAGGTGATGGCCTCGCAGTAGGGTAACTTGGAGCGATCTTTGGACCACTCGGGTATGCGCTCCAGGCCCACAACCTCCTTGATTTCCTGGAAGGCACGCTCCTGGATCTCCGGCTGCAGCACCAGGTGCATGAAACAGAAGCCCAGACTCTTGTTGGTCGTCTCCGATCCGGCCAAAAACATGTCCAAGCAAATGGCCAGCAGGCTCTCATCGCTGAACATTCCCTTCTCATCGTTTCCCTCCTCCTGGGCGCGCAGATACGAATCCATCAGATCTCTGGGCTCATCGTAGTTCTTGTAAGTCAAACGATGCAGTTCGATCTCCTTGCTCATAAAGGAGTATAGTGATCTATGACTTTCCACGAAACCATTGTAGCCCGAGTAGTCAGGAGCTATGAATCGAAGTAGGGGAAAGTGACTGAACAGAGCACCCACCATATCGATGTTCTTGAAGAGCTCAAAGAAGGTCTCCAGTAGTTCAGTGATCTCCGGGGAACCAGGTTCATACCGCCTACCGCTCAGCATGCACCAGAGGGTGTTCAAAACGTAGACACTCGTTAGATCGTGCATCTCAATCCGCGCCTGCTTTCCGCCAGACTTCACCACTTGAGCCTTGAGGTCCTGCAGCAAACAGGTGGCCTCGTTGTGGACGATATCCATCATGCCGCTTCTGGCAAAGCCGAAGTTCTTCAAGTGCCGCAGGATAAACCGACGCTGCTCCACCCACATTTCTCCGTCGGTTAGGAGGACCCCCAATCGGGAATTGAAGGTCCTGAGGCGATAGAATATACCATCTGGTCGCCCGTCAATATCCTCGTTCGTCATCATTTCACTAATCGCCTCGTTCGTATAGGCTATAACCACCTTATCCTTGCCAATCTTCAGGCCAAAGAAGCCATAGGGATTCACATATTGCTTGGCAAACACATCGATCACCTTGCAAAACATCCCCAGGCGACATCGCAGCTGGGAAACCTGGAGGGCACTTCCTACTATCGGATACCAACGAGGTCCTGGCGGAAATCTGCGCGGTTTTCGCACTCCTCCAAACAAGATTGCCAACAAGGTGGCGCAGAAAATCCAGATGACCGCATAAAACATGTTTCTCTGTCGTTGCTTTCACTTTTCCCAGTTACGCAATATTATTAGCTGGCTTTTGCAGTTGCTTAGTTATCCTCAGCTTCCTGGTGATCCAGTCCAGAGTCTGATCCCGCACCTGACGTTCACCCAAATCGACTGAATCCGCTCGGTTAGTTGGGCCTGGCTTTTATAGACATCGACGCGAAAAGCTTTTCCTCTTGTTTGAGTTTTCTTTTGGCCATTAAAGTTTACACAAGAGTTGGGGGTTTGCAAAAATTGCAGGCGAAAAGTAATGGAGTTGAAATCGGGGAAGGTTCTACTGATAAAATCTTGAATTTCATAATTCTAATGTAATATTTTCCTAATTCTTTCTAAAATTTATTATTCAAGTGTTTTTACATCAGTATTAAATATTGTAAATTTATTTAAAATTAATTAAATATTTACTAATTATTTAAATGTCAATTAAATAGGATTAGTTTTTAAGAAGGTGTTAGGCTTTTCCAGTATTACATTGAAACAAATTCTTGATATTCACTTAAAAAGCTGATTTAATTAAAGATGTAAGTTTTCTTGGTTTCCATCTACAAAAAGTCTTAAAGAAGATATGTACATTTAAATTTATTTGTTTGGAAAAACGAAAAAACATTATTATACAACATCCCTCGCTTGAACCACTTCCCTTCAGCCTCCAAGACCCAAATCTTCACCCGTCTGACCCACTGCCTTGTGGATAGTTCAACTGCATTTTCCTCGGCGATTAATCGCCGCTAACCAACGACTTTAATGGTCATGGACAACGCCACCAACCACTGGATCACCGCCAAAGTCAAGGAAAACTTGTTGCGTTAAGAAAACCGTGAAAACGCAAATAGAAAAAACCCGTTTGCTCCAAATGAAAGGGAAAACAAATGGAGATGTTGGGATAAGGAGGAGGAAAAGCAGGAGGAGGAGCTGGCCGGACAACTCGTCTGGATGAGGAGGCTATTATGTCATCGGCAGCGCCATTGCGGAAAGCGGTGGGATGGACTTTGTTTTGATGATAACTCCGCGGGTTCCGGTTTTTCGGTTTGGGATTTTGCCGTTTCACGCGATCAAAGTGGAGCTGCCATTGATTTTTGGCATCCAATTGGGGGCTTTAACATGGGGCCACCACTCGCGGATTGCCCATTTGAAGGCTGCCGCTCGAGCTGCACAGACGTGACAGGACGGCTCTTTAGTCCAAAGGATGGGTTTCAGGTGAGCATGAACATGGCGATAAACTGACAAGGAGCTCCACCCAAAAAACGGATAATTAAGTTTTAAAATTTGAATTTTAAAATAACAATTGCAGTGAGTGCATAATAAGAATACGATTTATTTAGTAGGTATTTATTAGCTTTAGGGCCGTTTTCTCGTCCGTCTGTTAAATTTAAAGGAAGCTTTAAAGTTTAAACTCTGATTTCCAATACGATTTCAAGGCCGTTTTCCTTTCTTTAAACTCTTTTTTTTATACGATTTAAAAGTTCAAACTTTAAACCTAACTGATGGATCTGAAAACGGATCTAAATTTCTTAAATATTTAAAATTTTTTTTTTATTTTATGAAAAATTTCTAAATTTCTGAATTTGTATTACATAAACCTCTTTCTAGAATCGTACTCTTAGCTGCCACCGGTCTGGGAGCCATGTACATGATGCATCTTCTGGCCCAGGATTGGGTCAAGATACGACCCATCCGGGGAATAACCCAACTAGCCGGAATGGCCGCTCAGCCTTTTCAACAGGTTCAACAGGCTATTGGAGGCGCAATTGCGCCCATCCAACAAGCCAGCGGAGCTCTGAATTTATTTCGAAGCAGAAGAGATGCGAACTTAAATCATGAACTTGGTTGGGTGCGAAGAACACAGGACTCGGGAGGAGGGAGTGCAAGTGGAAATGGAAAAGTTAGAGCTTCAGGAGGAGTGGTGCCCAGACCGCCACCAGCCATCGATTGGAAGAAGATCCTGTCCAGAGATCCCTTCGAGTGTCTTCAGTCCCTGATTTGTCAACTCATGTCCGGCGCTGAATCGAAGGTTCCGGAGGCTGAGCTGCTCATGGATTATCTGGAATCATCGCTGGAGATGGCTCCGGTCAAGATAGGCCGGGCCTTCAGTCGAGGACTGGCATTGCGGGGTTCCCCGGAGCTCTGCTTCAGCGAATATCCCTTTTGCCTCTATTCCGCCAAAACGATGTTGCGCATCCTGCGGTGGTTTAGTGAAACGGGGGAAGTTCCCGTGGAGGAAGTGGCTTAGTTGTATGATTTTGGCTGCAATAAACTTTAAGGAGTGAGGGAGAGTGAAATGAGGAAGTGAAAAAGTGAGTTTACTTTTTGGTAAAAGGTGTGAAGTGCGTTTAAAGTTAACATTTTCCGTATTTCCTTTTTCGATTTTTCAAAAATATGGAAGTTAATTACTTTATTTTAAATGTTAATTATTTAATTTTAAATTTTTAAGTAAGTTAGAAAATAAAAGTGATTTTATACAATTTGTTGGTAAATTAAGGACAAATTAGATAAGAAAAATGATTATATCACAAATGTGTGACATATTCTTTAACCTCTCTAAATTCCAATAACCAGTTGGATATTCAAAGTGTTTTATGTATGTTTACTTGAAATTTAAATTAAAATAAACTTATACAAAAATGATTAAACATTCAAGAAAAAGCATTAAACAGGACAATACAAATTTTCAATTAAGGTGTCGACGAAGTTCGACCGTAGATCCTTCGCACATCGGAATGGCGAGCACGTCGCCTGCAGATGGGGCAGCGATGGTATCTTCTAATGGCCGTGTGGATGCAGTTGCTGCCGAATAGGTGACCGCATCGCAGCGAGACCAGAAAATGGGCACCGTCCCCCCTCAAGGGCTCCAGGCAAATCGAACAGGTGGTGTCCTCGGCAAGCCTGTCCAGCCGACTACTAATTGTGCGCAGTTCTCTGATGATCAGGTGCTCACCCACGATTAAGGGTCGCTCTTCGGTCGCGTGCTGCATCATCAAGCTCCGCAACTGGTCAAGGAGTCGACGGCGATGAATCATGAGATCCCTCATCTGCGTATTGCACTCCCGCAGCTTGCGGACCTGCTCCTCCAAACTGCCATTCGAATCCACCTGCTGCTCCAAACGCACAAGCTCCTCCTCCTGCTTCTCAATTTCTCCCACGAGAAAAAAGATTTGATCCGACATTTTTTGTTTGTTAGAGTAGTTTGAAAAGAGGATTTGATTTGATTCTCCTTTCATTGAACAAGTTCAACTTGGTTATAGAAAAAGTTTATTAATAACAATAAATTTTCCTTTGTAGTTACCATCAGTATGCAAAAATATTCATATACATTATATATTACAAATGATTAATCATATTAAAACGGAATGAAGTAAAGAGCTTCTTCTGTATATTTGAGATTTGGGTTTGGTTGCTTTAAATAACAAATGAGCGAGCGATAGTTTGGTTAACATTATAAGCTTTCAAAGCCCACAGCATTAACGAAAATAAGTTAAATAAAAATGTCTGATTTGTTCAACATAATTTGTACATAAGATAGAGTAGTAGTAGTAGAGAGCTTCTGTTGCGACTTGTTGCGTTTTGTGCACGCTGCGGGGAGATTCTCGCGTTGATTTGAGCATAAAAGTGTTAACTTAAGAATGGGAATAAGATGACAAAATAAATTCAGTAGCAGTGAAGCACACTATGCCAGCGGAGGAGGAGGAGGAGTCTGGCCACTGAGAGTGACACTCGTAACATCCTTGACAATCATCTCGGCCACCTGCCAGGCGATCTCCTCCTGGACTTTATCCTCCGGCAGATTCACCAGCTTGCGCATGGCATTTTTGATTTTGTTGCCGCTGACACTCAATGACCATGGCTGCGATTTGAGAGCCACTGCGTCCACGGCTTCAAAATCCCGCTCATAACGTCCCAGGGAGTTAACAAAGCCGAATTTCAGTGCTCCCACAGGACGCTGCCACAGAAGTTGAGGGTTCGTCAATTGTCTGGCGTCAATATTGAGATTTCCACTCTGATGATTGATCGACGCTTTCGATGGCATCTGATCCATGGAAGCCAGCAGTGTGTTGTGCTGCGAAATGTGGGTGCAGTCTGACATGGAAAGGGTCTTGCGATGACGCTGCTGGGAATTCGTTGTTTTGCCAGCTCTGCGCAGGCTTAGCTTTTGTTGAAGATTCGCTTGTGGAGTGGAGTTGTCTGTAAAAGAAGAACTCAAGTTAACACAGAATTCAAACACAATATTAAGTGCCAAAACAAACCTCTTTTGACTTTCAGTTCATTCACATAGTTATCGAAAATGTGCGACTTTAGAAAGTCGGCAAAGTACTTTTGCTCCAGATACTTGGCCGTCACGAAGAGGGCCAAATCGAAGGCTTGCCACTGCTCGCCTGGAGCGCAGATGGCCTGTTCCACCCGAGAGCGCAGCTTCTGGGACATCCAGAGACGACATTCGGATTGCAGGGAGAAGTATTTGTCGTATATGATCATGGCATCGCTCTGGGCCGCCTTGCAATCCTCCTCCTTCTCCTCGCCGATGGCAAAGCTCTTGCGAAAGTTTATGCCTGTTATCCAGAACTCCAGACACTCGCGCTCTTGCTGCTGTTCCAGGTACTCGGTGAAGTAGAATAAGGCCAGTTCGCTGTTCAAGACATCATAGATGTTAATGGAACCGCCTTCGATCAACTCCAAACAGTAGGTTGAGTAGTAGCCGCTCTGCAGAAATCCCTGCACATGATCGCGCTCCAACTGCTCCAGCACAAAATCTCTGGCTTCATCGAAGCAACTGGCCGGGATTGGCTTGCTGCACTCGGACTTATCCCTTCCGCAGAGGAGCAGAGATATGTGCGCCAGAATGACGATGGGAAGATCCACTTGCAGGCTGGCATTCACAATTAGATACTTTTGGTAAATGGCAATCGCATCGCTGATGCTGGCCCGCGAAAGTTCAGAGTTTGTGAAGCATTCCGTGCCGGACTTTTGCCTATTGATCTGCTTGTTGGTTTCCGCATAAATGCGGCTCTTCTCGTCGTCCGTGAGGGGTTTCCGCATGGACAGATCGCACAGCGTCTTTAGTTCAGGTACATCTTTGTCATCTTTGTGCGGAGAAGATGGTTCCGCTTTGCTAGGCGGCTCCTCTGCGTCCTTTTTCTCCTGCGAGAGCGCCGCCCGCTTAAAGTTCTCAATGTCCAGGTAGAATTTGATCAGAGGCAGGGCCTGTCGGGTATCCAGATACTGCACGAAGTAGCTCAGGCAGTTGGGATCGTTGACAATGGAAGCCAGGTTCATGGAGAGTCGCGAGTTGTAGGTAAAAATATCTAGGGAAAAAAGAGTTCTAGTCAGTTCTTTGTAATATGATTTTTTCGATATAATTGAGTTTTCGCAAAAATAATAAAAGTCGTGAATCATGAGTTGTTTTTCAATTTTAAGAATAGAGATAGGATGTGCAATTCTTATAAAATGTATGGAGAATATTATCGAATATGTATTCGGGAATATTAACAAATTTAGCTTTGCAAATATCTAAGATATTTGGTGTCTTTTAAGTTGTTTGATTAATCATTATTAAAAAAATATTTATAAAATCAGTGGAATTTTAGATGTACCAGATCAGATTTGATAAGTATATTATTAGGATATCTTTTGAATTTTAGAACAGTTCTGACTTGTATCTTTTAGAAGCCCCTTTATATATGTTTATCCATCGATTTGCCAATCTCGGCAAGATTCCCACCCTGATCAGTTGCGACTTAAAGGTGAGAACGCGATGAGCAATTGAATAATGAGGCGGTGAGGTAATTACCATCGTTGCTGGAGAGACTGATACCATCGGAGAGGGCACCTCCTCCTACTCCTCCTCCTCCGGATCCCACGCCCTCCTCCTCCGCCTCTAGGAACACCTCGTCGCAGAAACTGGTTGTCGAGCGCAGAGAGTGGCGCTTGTGGGCCACAGCTCCGTCGGTGGTGTCCACATCATCTGATGTTTGGCCACAATTGGCATCCGTGGCAATATCTTGGCTGCTGCGACGACGGCCTAAATAAAAGAAAACAAAATAATTGGTGTCAACAGAAGGGCGAAGATGAGGAAAAGCAGGTGGGCGGGGGAGTTGGGTGAAAACAGCAGCGAAAAACGTTGAGATTCGGACACTCACTGGCTTGCCTCTTGATGTAATTTAACATCTTTACATTCTCCGGCTTTCGCTGACTTCGGGAAGCGTTGCTTGTGCCTTATTTCTCCGATTTACTGCAGGAATTAACGAATTTATTTAATGCGATGCGGAGGCGACGGTAAATATTATCAATATGTCAGGGATGGGATGGGATGCGATGTCAGTGATGCGGCTAAAACTAGTGATGGCACCGCATCACAGAGATGAGTAACTAGACTAGCCACTTTGGCTAGAATACAACAAAAAGTAAAATGTTCCGAAAACCAAAAAATAATAAAAGTAAAAAATTAAATAAAATAAATTAAATGTGCTTCGGACATCCGCAGTTTGCCGTTCCGGTGGACGACTGCGGAACTGATCTGCGAGTTCTGGAAAGTAAATTACAGCCGTTTTGAAATATAATATTAGGTAAAAAACGAAATGGAATACCTTTCCGGTTCGTCCAGTCCCTGCCAGTATTGATGATTTGGGCTGAGAAATGGTAAACGCTTTTCATCCTCGATTACAATGTCCTTTAGGTCTAATGAAATAATGCATTATGAACAGCTTTTAAGCTGAATTTATTTTATACTTACGTTGTGATAAGGGAATATTCTGCATGTCCGTACAGGGAACCCGCTGGTTCCGAGAAACTGCCGGGACCTGGTCCACCCTCCCGGCAGAGTAGGAGTGTTTCTCTGGGGCCACAGGTTTATTATATAGCATCCTCGCAAATATTGGGACATTTGCTGTAAATATTTAGGAAAGTATTAAGTAAATTTAAAATTCTTTTTTTTTAACTGTAATTAAATACTGTACCTCGCTCTTCGCATTCCTTGAAGTTGCGAAACTCCCTTTGAGCCTTCTTTTTTTGGAGAAAGCGTCTCACGACTTCAGAAACGTCTTCGAGGACGTCCTCTTCCTCCTCAGCCGGCTCCATGTTTCGTCAGGTTACTTTACCTTTTTTTTGTCAAGCTTCTTGGTCAGATCAGCACACTTGAACTCGATGTTGATCACTGTTTAGAAATGACGGATCTTTGGCCGCGTTGCCACCTAATGCATTTCACAAGCTTGATCACGCTTCAGATTTTTTTGAATCGAAACTGCGAGGATTACAAATAGACTCTTCCCATAGAGTCCACCCGTGTGAAGCGGTTGGGATGTTTGGCAAATGCGAAACTCGTGTTCCCACTGAGCTCCATCCACCATCCAATAACAGCTGACTGAAGAGCAGTTGCTCAGCTCAACATTAACGAAGGGGGATTTCATCTCGGGAAAACTGTCGTAAAATTTCGTTCTCCTAATCCTTTGTAAAGTAATACAATAAATAGATTAAGGTAATAGTTAAAAAACATATCTGAACATTTTTAACATATCCTATAACGAGTATGCATATGTATGTATGTGCATATTGCTGACTGGGGGAGAGGCTAACCTCCCGTACCCCACACTCCGCTCTCTCTCACACTAACCAATATTAATATGGCAAATTTGTAAACAAAACCTAATTTTTGCTGTTTTGGTAATTTATAACAACCTTGGAACTTTTTAGGAGTACATACATAGTACACTTTTAATTAGTATTAAATATTATTTACGAAGTGCAGAACATATTCTGAGACTTCGCTGCAAACATTGATGTTTGCGTACGCAGAACAGCTAAAATTTTGGCCCACTCATAGCAACCTGTTTGCGAATGCTTTTCCGCCTATAATAAACTACAAAAAATGGAAAAAAACCGAAAGAAAATAATGAGCTAAAGCATTATTTAATTTTTTGCCGCCATCGATTTGATTTGTTCTCGCAGTCATCGTTCCATTTTCCACAGTCAAGAGGAAGAATTCAGAGTTGCGCCCGAAAAACAAAGTCAAGGTACGTCAAAATTGGATGCCGGACTAACTGTGTAATTTTCGGAACGGCAAAACCTTACGGACCATCCGTTCAACGGATGGTGGAAGGAGTTCTGTGGGAAGACCCAATAAATGTGGGAATATAGTTAATTAAAGTGAAATATGGCAAGCTCTGCTAAAACTTAAATATAAATTTTAGTTAATTTAACTATGGTCATAGTATACTTAAATAAACATAAATTAACATACTGTGCTATTACTATGGTTTGCTACGATTTACTACGGATTACTACGATTTACTACGGTTTACTACGGTTTACCACGATTTACTACGGTTTACCACGATTTACTACGATTTACTACGGTTTACTACGGTTTGCTACGGTTTACTACGGTTTACTACGATTTACTACGGTTTACTACGTTCCATTTTCCACAGTCAAGAGGAATTCAGAGTTGCACCGAAAAACCATCGTCTAACTATCGAATAAAAGAGCCCGTCAAAGTCCGTCAAAATTGGATGCCGGACTATCTGGGAAATTTTCGGAAGGGCAAAACCTTGCGGACCATCCGTTCAACGGATGGTGGAAGTTCTGTGGGAAGACCCAATAAATGTTGGAATAAATAGTTAATTAAAGTTAAATATGGCCATATTTTGATTAATTAAATTTACTAAAACTTAAATATTCATTTTAGTTAATTTAACTATGGTCACAGTATACTTAAATAAACATAAATTAACATACTGTGCTATTACTACGGCTTACTACGATTAACTACAATTTACTACGATTTACTACGATTAACTCCGATTTACTACAATTTACTACAATTTACTTCGGTTTACTACGATTTACTACGATTTACTACGGTTTACTACGATTTACTACGGTTTACTACGATTTACTTCGCTTTGCTACGATTTACTACAATTTACTACGGTTTACTACGATTTACTACGGTTTACTACGTTCCATTTTCCACAGTCAAGAGGAATTCAGAGTTGCACCGAAAAACCATCGTCTAACTATCGAATAAAAGAGCCCGTCAAAGTCCGTCAAAATTGGATGCCGGACTAACTGGGAAATTTTCGGAAGGGCAAAACCTTGCGGACCATCCGTTCAACGGATGGTGGAAGTTCTGTGGGAAGACCCAATAAATGTTGGAATAAATAGTTTATTAAAGTTAAATATGGCCATATTTTGATTTAAATTTACTAACACTTAAATATTAATTTTAATTTAATTTAACTGTGGTCATAGTATACTTAAATAAACATAAATTAACATACTGTGCTATTACTATGGTTTGCTACGATTTACTACGAATTACTACGATTTACTACGGTTTACTACGGTTTACCACGATTTACTACGGTTTACCACGATTTACTACGATTTACTACGATTTACTTCGGTTTGCTACGATTTACTACAATTTACTACGGTTTACTACGATTTACTACGGTTTACTACGTTCCATTTTCCACAGTCAAGAGGAATTCAGAGTTGCACCGAAAAAACATCGAGTAACTATCGCATAAAAGAGCCCTTCAAAGTCCATCAAAATTGGATGGCGGACTAACTGGGAAATTTTCGGAATGGCAAAACCTTACGGACCATCCGTTCAACGGATGGTGGAAGGAGTTCTGTGGGAAGACTTAATAAATGTGGGAATATAGTTAATTAAAGTGAAATATGGCAAGCTCTGCTAAAACTTAAATATAAATTTTAGTTAATTTAACTATGGTCATAGTATACTTAAATAAACATAAATTAACATACTGTGCTATTACTATGGTTTACTACGATTTACTACAATTTACTACGGTTTACTACAATTTACTACGCCTTACTACGGTTTACTACGATTTACTACGGTTTACTACGTTCCATTTTCCACAGTCAAGAGAAAGAATTTAGAGTTGCACCGAAAAAACATAATACAGTTTATTATTCTATGACAAGCGACCCCGATTTGGCGTGTTTTCAGATGAAACACGCACGGTTGTAAAATTAGGTCACACTTATAAACCGATAACCCGATAAGCACTGAAATGTTAAAGAAGAGTCTTCCTTCTTAACGGAAGTAACTTAATAATTAAAAAAAAAAAAAAGAAAAGCTATATCTCAGAGAAGATGAGAATGATATAATATACAATATAATTTGTTTACTATTAATTTCCATTTCATTTAGGTAAGAGTATCAGTCTTAAAAAAGATCCATCAATTTAGTATCTGAAAAGAAAATGTAACTTTATCTTGTTGTAAGCATATTTTTAAGCTGTATATTTGCGCTGCCCTACAGCGACAGTTCCTTTGTTAAAGAGATCAAACAATTTAGTATCTGAAAAGAAAATGTAACTTTATCATGTTGTAAGGCATATTTTTAAGCTGCATACTTACTTTTCTTTCGCAGCTGCTCTACAGCTACTCGCGCGTAGTTATTGGGTGGTCGGATGTGCTCCCGGACGTTCGAATTCAATATTCTTTTGCACCCTGTGCTAAAGCTACAAAGGTCGCACTGCCTCAGCTCCTCATATTGTTTTCTTTTGAGCCGGTAGAGGCTGCTCGAACTGATCCCGTACTTCAGCTTGGAGCTCCCGCGCTGCTTTTTTTCTTTATACTGTTGCTTAGAAATGTCCTCTTCTTTCTCCTTCATCTCCTTCGCTTTCTCCTACTTTGCTACATTATTTTAAGTTAACAGTGTCTGCTAACTAATTACTGTTCCCCCCGAGTACAAAAATATACCAATTATTTAACATATCAAAAACCAAGATATTAAACACACTATGTAGAAGTTTGCCTTCTACAAAATAATTGGGGGATTCCCTAAACTGTTGAATTGCTGAATTGTTGAATTTTGGTCAGCTGGTAATTAGCTGTTCCATACAAATCAACTTTCAGCAATTCAACAGCCTCGGGGCTGTTGAAAATTTTGTTGAATTGCTGAAAAGCCAGCAACTCGAGACAGTTTAGGGAATCCCCGTAATGAACAATAAAAATCAGTAGGTATTCAATATAAGAAAAGTGCCTTTGATTTTAAAATTTCCCTCCTTTCTTTAGTCTTGGCACTTAACAGCTTAGTTATAGATGGCGTGTTAATAGACGATGAAACTTAACAGAGCCCTGTTAGGGGTGCCCACAGGGTGATTCGGGACAGAAACAGAGTTGAAAAACGACAGAACTCATAAAAACCCTAAAAATGCCCGACGACGTTTTTCCCCCACGCACTCCATGGTCACTCTGCTGTTTTTCGCCGAATCGAACGCACGTAACGGACGCACGGAAAGTCGCATTTTCGATCGGAATAAAGCGTACAGCCAATTCGTGTACACATATTCATCAGTCGCGCGGCCAGTGCGGTGGCAAGAAAAAACAGCTGCGGAATAAAATACACAAATCTCAAGCTCGCCGAGGGCCAAAAATCAAAGTGCCGAGTGAAAAGAAAACTTCTGGACGCGCTAAAGTCGCTCTCCCTCTCTCTGTCTCTCTCCTGGTGTGTGTCTGTGCGCGTAGTGCTAGTGTGTGCGAGTGTGAGTGAGACGGGCAAACAATTTGCCGCTAAATACAAAAAGCAGCTGAGACCAGCTGACACATGTGTGTGTGCGAAATACAATAAAGGCAAAAAGCAAAAAGCTATATTAAAGGCTATAAATAAATTGCAAATGTTTATGTAGCCGTACAGCAGCGGCAGCAACAACAAAACGCACGTGGCGCAGACATTTTGGCCACGATAGTAAGCAAACACACAAACACGATTAAACATGTCCGCCGTACCGGTTGCCATCAAAACGGAGGAAGTTATTCTAGAGCACGCCGAATACAACAGCGCCGAGGAATTGGATGAGGAATTGCAGTAAGTTTCTATTTCATGTGTCGCAGAGCGGAGCGCCAGTCAACATCAACAGCTTGGCTTGCATTTTTATCACGCAAATTATTGATTATTTTTACTACTCTGCTAGTGCGCTCTCTTCGCTCTACGCTCGCCCTCTCTCTTTCTCTCGTTTGCTTTTTACCGCCGTTTTGCCGACAAAACAAATACGGCACAAAAACACCACCACCACGAAGGCAGCACTCTCACACACGCACACCAGCGCACGTCGCATTCCATTCCATTTCCACTTCCATGCCGTTTTCTTGTTGCTGGAATAAATGTGACGCTTCTTTTTTCTCCCATCTTTCGTGTCTGTGCCCCTTCCGCGCTCTCTTTTCCTGCCGCTCTCGTCTCGTGTTTGTGTTGTTGGTGTTTTCACGCTCTGCCTTTCGTCGTCCATATTGTAAAACGGCTGTTTTGTCAATTTGTCAGCAGCGTCGGCAGACGGGAAACAGTGCTGGCACAAATATTAGTCATGGGGCACAGCTGCTTGGGCAATGCAGGATTTTTAGAAAAGTGATAATAAATTTCATTAAAATAAGAACTGTTTATTTAGATCCCAGATGATAAAAGATATACGATATTTAGAAAAACTTTAAAAGTTTATATTATGAACTGTACCCTTTTGACACTTAGAAAAAGATCTATGTATGACTAACAATATATTCTAGGAAAGTTCTCTTAAAAACGGCTTCTATTTAGCAAGTAATTAGTTTATATCAAAAAGGTTTTTTAATGATCCCCTTAAAATTGTTTTACTGCCTTGTGTGTTTTTATTTTCGCCATTTCCTTTCCACAAATATTTGGTCTAATTGTTACAGCTGCTTTTGCTATTTGTGCCTGTCGATCGCCGTTGCTCTCTTCGCTCCTCTCCTCTCCTCTGCCTCTTTCCCATTCTCCGGCTCTCGCGCTCAGCTGCCAATTTGCGCTAGCTCACATGCTTGAATTAACCGAGGTAAAAAAAACAGCTGCGCCACCACACTCTTCTACCCGCTTATCTTGCCCTGCGTTGCCTAATCAACATTTCTATTTCTTCTTCGTGTTCATAGTTGAAATGAAATCAGCTGTACCGGTACCGGTATAATCGTATCATCAGATGGTTTTGCTTTGCTTTATTTACACGGAGCTATTTCTCCCTTTTTACACAGGCAGAAAATGGATCAATTTGAAGATTTGAACATGTATTCTGGCCAACTATCTTAAACTAAAAACTGTATCCTGTTTATCCTGCGATCATTTTTTCACGTGTACCTGAGATACACACCAAACAAGTGCCAAGAAATGTGGAAAACAAGTGGCCTGAGAAATGTACAGTTTTAGTTTCTTATTTTCTTCCTTGCCTTTCTTTCGATCGGTTTCGTTTTGCGAATATTTGTCGTGATTTCGCAGCGAAAGTTGTATTTTCCTTCGCCGGCTTATCAGAATCATATGGTTGCGCTTTTCGCTTTTTCACACGTCATAAGCGGCGCCTTTTCTTATCGCTCGAGCATATGTTTTTGCACAACCACAAAGACAATTGGAAATGTATACGAATGCCCACGAACACTAGTCCATTTTAGCTAGCTTTTCAAGGCTTTTATTTCTTATATACCGTAAAATATATTTAGTTTTATTTTAAAGGTTATCGACAAGTATACGTAAATCAATTATAATCAAGAAACTAGATGAGAAGCCGTGGCAGCTGAAAATAGCTTTAAGTTTAAGTCATATTTAATTTCCTTGAGTCCATAGATAACTGTTAAAAGCGTAGGTTGAACCGTTATTTTGGCCACCAGTGTGGGCGGTATAACAACTGCGTTTTAGCAGCTGCTGTCCGCTTGTTGTTGGTGCTAAAATAAAAGAGCGTGCCTTGGCTAAAAGTCTCCACTCTGCTCTCCTCTCTCCATTTCCATCCGTTGCACATTTGCGAATACTACGAAAGCCATGTGTTGCGGCTGTCGTTTTTGTTGTTGTTGTTGTGTGGCGTCATTTCCGTTTTTACCCCACTCGACTGGAAAAGAGGAGCAATCCCAAGACAGAGAGAGCGAGTGTACACAACTCTTTCTTTCTCCGTCTCGCTCTCGCTGCAGTTTTATAAGAGCCGCTCCCCATTTAATCCAAGTACATAAGCAGGAGAGACAGAGAGAGAGCCCCCTTTGAGTTGCACTCAAACGCAAAAGCTTGCCGAGCGACAAAGAGGGAGAGCACAAAAGTACAGATGCCGCCACACACATTTTTTACTACCACACACGTTTCATTGAAAAAACATACACAAAAGCTAAAGCTGAAAACCCGCTGCAAATTTGCGAAAAAAGTGAAATGGAAACTAATACCAACACATGGCTTCAAATCTGCTGCGCAAATTTTTGGGCGATGGCTCTGTGTGTTTCGTTTCGTATGCCAAAACGTTTCATTTTGTTTTCGTTTCGTTTCCACGGCGCTTTTTTATTTCTTTTGCATGCGGCATTTATTGGCAACCTGCGAGCGAAAGAGAGGGCGCAACGGGGTGACAGAGAGAGACAGACTGCTACGGCTTGTTTATGAAAAACACATGATTTTTGTGTACATCAGTTTTTGGGGCAGGGCAAAAGAGAGGAAGAGGAAGATGAAGAGCCAAAACTACTACCATACTATGCAAAAATCCGTAACCCGACAAATAAATTGAGAATATTGCTTAAAGTTTCAAAGAATTTTATAATTATAGGAAAAGAATACAGCTTTTGTCGCTGATTTTAAAAATGTATAATATTTATCATAGAATTACATACATTACATTTTTTAAGGGCAATACGATATTATTTTATACAATTCTGTTTATCCCCTGTTTTACAATTTTTTTCTGATAATTCCCTTTAACAAACCTCTCAAATTGCAATCCAAGTATACAACATTTGTTTATGTCGCCAGAAGTTCTATAGATTTCATTATAAAGAAAACAGGGATACTGGAAACTGGGATAGAATTTCTTTTTCGCCTTAAACCTTTTGATTCCCCGTATTTATCTGGTTTATATAATTTCTATTTGCTTTTTTACGTTCCTTTGTTTATATTTTTATGGCAAATGTGGCGCCAACTGGCGGGCAAAACTGTGAAAAAAAAGAATGATGCGCGGGGGGAAATGCGAATTCTAATTTCTTCATTAGTTTATGCGCCTCTACTTTGTTGCACAAATTACGCAAGTGGCACAAACCTTATTGCGTTGCATTTCATTTTTCCTCGCATTCACAGTCTGTGTCGTAAGTTTGCCTCTGTTTTTCCCAAACGATAAGCTTGTAAGGGGGAATTCCCAGCTTTTATTAATGTGGTGTACGTGATTTATTTTAACTCAGTGCAAGATCCTTGCTATATATTTAGGGTATAGAGATTTTTTTATGAGAGTATTATTACTTAAAAATCTTTTTTAACTAATAAAAGTTAGTTTTATATATATGTAGGTCCCTTAAACCCACACTTCACTGAAAGCTTCCTTGTTCTTTCTCGAGTATTCTTCAGATTTTTGGCTAAGTAAAAACCAATAATGTTGAAAATCATTTGAAGGCGGTGTCTCTTGTTTACATTACTTGTGTATTATATAATTGCATGTTTATCTCTATGGATTGAATGGGAGTTTCCCTTGCTCTCCAACTTTCTTCGGCCCTGTCAACCCTTTCGCCAACTCCCCTTTATCCCTTATCTTCACCTGGTGCTGCTGCAGCAATACAACGAAATTCCAGTGAAATGATGACGTAAGCAGTGACCCAATAAACGTATGTACAATTTATGTGCAAAGTGCAACAACAGCAAGTGAAGAGTAGGGTGGAGGTGGAGGAGGGGACGGTGTGGGTGGCGGTGGGTGTTTTGAGGTGGCAGCACTCGTGACTTCGGCTTTTGTCTCTCTGTCTGTTTATCGTTCGTATCTCTGTGTTTTTCTCTCTATGTACTTGCTGGCGAAAAGTGGCCAATGAACTACATTGAACCCTGGCTAAAAAGCAGCGCCGCAGCAGCGTCGTCAGCTGTCCACAGTCATATGTTGTTACTATTATTATATTTCTTCGTATATTTATTAAAACTACAGCCAATGCCCCTAAAACTAATTTTGTTTAAGCATATGATTGTTGCGTCTTAAATTAAAAAGTATTTGGGACATAAGCAGCTGTTGCGAAGCCTCTAATGATAAAAAAAGCAAAGAAGAATTCTATACAAGATCCGCTTTAAGCATGTAGGGAACTAGAATTTCTAAATTTATCTAGATATTTTCACTATAGGAAGTTACCAGAATTCATCTACAATGGATGATATAACAAAGAGTGGAGAATGCTTAAAAATGTTTTATTATCACTAAAATTGAGGAAATATTTGAGTTTATATGGTAATGAAAATCTGATATTTTGAAACAAATTTTCCACACTTTTTTCTCACACATCGTGTAATTGCATTGCTGGAATAATTAGGCTGCCCTCATAAAGTAGACAAATTTATGTGTATGCATCAAAAACAACAACAGATGTTGCCACCACATGCAGCATGCAACAACATTCCCCGCGCGGTTTTCATTCAGTGTTTTTCGGCTTTTATTGTGCAAACAAAAACAAACGAGATGCCAAAAAGCAGGCACAAGTGCCCAGATCCGAGATCCGAACCACATTCCTTTGGCCTTTTGCAGCAGCAGCTTTGCAGTCTTTGCAGCCTTTCTGCTTTTCTGGCTGCCACAACATCCACATCCGCCTGCTAGCTGCTGTTGACCAACTTTGGAGGCATCTCCCCTCTCTCTTTAGGCTCCCCACTTGCCGTCTCTTTCGCCCACTTTCCGCAGAAATGCTGCCGGAGAAGAACGACCTTTGGATGATGTTGCTAAAAATAAACCAAGCTAGCGAGACGATGTCTCTAATACAGTCTGACTTCTATAACTAGCAACTAATGCTTTTTGCAATCCGGTTTTCAAAAGTGTTCAAACAACGTGTGTGGCAATCAAAAAAAAATTCTGCACCAAAATGTTTACACATTCTTTTCAAAATATAAACTTTTCATTGGTTTTTAAAAATCAAGACTATAGAATTGAAAATCTCAGAATGCAAAATTTCATAAAAGAATGTTTTTCCCACAAGCAGATTTTCGAAAATCATTTTTGGAATGTTCGAGTTACAGAAGTGAAGACTGTATTTTCTAGCATCGTCTTGAAAGAGTGTTGTTCTTGTTGCTCGCTCGGAATGTGGTGTTGCAACTTTTACACTCGAACCCCCACCCCCATCTCCGCTCCTCTACCTGTGTTTTTGTTGTTCTTTCTCGGTGAGCATACCATTGTGAAAATTGTTTTCATTAGCCTGCAGCAACAGCAAAACTCTGAGGCTTGTGGAAAACGTGTTTGCTCTTTTTCGTAGGGTAAAACCGGTTCGGAATTCTTGGGACCTCGCGTCTTTGAGACTATGCTGCAGCATAGCTATAGCTCAAAGCCCCGATAAGAAGAAGAGGAAGAAGAAGAAGAAGTAAAAGAAGAACTGCGAAATAACACGAAACGGAGGTCCAAAGCAATCCGAAACGAACCAAATCGAACCGACAAAACAGAAAACAACAATCACGACAACCGGCGATGGTGGCTACAATAACAAAAGAGGAATGCCCATACTATTGACAGCTGTGCTGAGCTACCTCTCTCTTTCTCTAGTTCCCTCTCTGTCGCTCTTTTACATGTGTAGTGCAGTAGTCGGATACCCTACGCTAGAGTATATAGGGAGTATAGTTATAGTAGGTTCCTAATAAATCTAAAACTGATACATTTGTCAAATATTCATCAAACTAAGAAATCTCTTTACGGAACCCATCATTGTTAAGTTTTGATGCGTTTGATATTAATAGATCATTATAAAGAAAATTAAAAAAATATATATATATATTTTTATCCGTCAGCTACCTTTTTAAGTTAGAAAAGTCCAATATTTGTGATAAAAAATTAAATTAAAATCGAATAATTTAAAAATGAATAATTAAAATAATATTAATATTTTTGGAATATTTAAAAAAACTTACAATACGTTCACTTAAGATTGTGTTGGGATAGGTTAGGGCATTTATGAACCACAGTAGTAACCCAACTTTTTCTTTAGTCCGATGCTGATGGTAACGTGACAACAACAGAGTAGTGATTGTGTGAGTGTGTTTGTTGCCTCTCTGTTTTTGTTGTGATTGCTGTGCAGCGTCGGCGGGTTAAACTAAAATTGAATTGAATGGAATTGTAAATTTATGAATGAATGAATTTTTCAGCGCTTTGGTGAGCGGGCATGTGGTTTTGTGTGAGTGTTTTGTGTTCGTGGATTGTACAAATGTAAAAGTTAATTGGTTTTATGTGACGGCAGGCGATAAGGCAAAGCCATAAATAAGATATATAAGGTGATTAAAAATGATCTTTAAGCAATACTATTTTGGGAATGTAAACGTAGGTTATTAAAAAATCCTAAAAGGTGAGCCAGTTGACTCCTAAATATCTGAGATACTCTTAAGAAATATCTGTGAATGCATCATCACAAAATAATGCAGAGAATAAATAATTGTGATTCAATCACTTTCTTAAAGAAGATATCACTCCTGACCAATATTTATTGCCAGTCTGTGACTCATTGCCAAACCATTTTATCATTTTGCAGATTACAACTAGAGGATTCAGGGGGTGAGAATTATCACATCGAGTACGCCAGCGAGTCGGCCCATCAGGGCTCTCAGCGTCGGCAGTCCAGCATGAGCGGTACGAATACCTCCAAGGGCGGAGGAGGAGGCGGGAACGGGGCCCTCAGCGATGGAGACGGTTCGGGAAAACCCCTTGTGGACAGCGAGAAGAGGATGCGCCGGGAAATCGCCAACAGCAATGAGAGGAGACGCATGCAGAGCATCAATGCCGGATTCCAGAGTCTGCGATCGCTGCTCCCGAGACACGAGGGCGAAAAGTTGAGCAAGGTAAGTTACTATCCATTCAAGTTTGACAGCCATCGTGGTACCGATTTCGTAATTTAAAGAGTTTCGGATTTTAATCACTTACTTTTGACTTAATAATATACTCTTTCATATTATGTCTAGATTTTTTGTTGTTTTTAGTGCATAAAATCCTCGATATATTTTAGGGAACCCTGTTATACATATATCAAAAACGTTTACAAAATTGTAAGTTATAATGCTATCATCATCATTATCAAAAAATGATTAAGGGACCAAGAAAATGTTTTGAAAACCAAATAAAAATTGGTTATTATTCCTGCATTATTAGTTCCTATCCCATTAAAACAATTTTAATGCAAGTGTCTGAAAGTTAAATGTTGGAAATTATTATCCATGGTCAGTTCTCGATCGGTTGACGTGTTTTGCTGGATTTCTTGTAAGGCCGCAATCATCATCTAGACATCAACACCATTTTTGGGAAATACTTCGGCCTTCTTCCAGCTTAAGTTTACCTCTTTTCTTTTAACCCGTGGCACGCAACTCCAATTACATTTAACCAGAGTCCGAACCCGAACCGTTTCGGTCTGGACCTCAATTACAGGGCCAGGAACACATGTTGACAAATTGCCGACGACTCCTGGTACTGCAAAAGAATAAAAAAGGCTCAGAAGAAAAACAAGCACACACGCCACTTGCTAAAAGCTTCCAGCTGAGGAATAAAACGTGAATGGAAATGGGTTTATGGGGGGCGTATAAAGTGGGGACTAAAGCTTTGAAGGTCCCTTTTCGACATTTAGTCGTCAGGGCAACCGTGTTGGCGTCGTCGTCTCAATTGTTTGTTGTTGGAGGCGTTTCGCTTTTTCTTTTTACGCCGCTTATATATTTTGTTCAGCATTTGTGTTTTTTTTTAGCATACACATGTTCTCATATTTATGGGATTTTCACCTTGAGACGACATCGATTTGTTGTGACGCGTGTGTTGTAAAGGGCCGGTGGAACGAACGGCCTTGTTAGTGGGGGAGGATATTGGGCATGTCTTAAAACACTTTGTATAGGACCACATTATGAGTACTTTGCAGATTTATTCCTTCACATACCTCTCATTTAAGCCCGATTAAGTTCGCAGACGCTTGTAAATCATTGAAATGGCCTGGAGTAGGAAAACAGCAAGACAGTTATTTCTTTTGTAAATTATGTGTCTGCGGTTAGAAAAAAAAAAGACTGATGAAATTATAAATATAAATGCAAGAGTGACTAAAGTTAGCCGAATGAAAATTGAAATGTTCAAATTAAAACTGCTAGGAATTAAACTTTTAGAAATTAAAACCTAATAAAATCTTTCCTTTAACCATTTTAATGAAATCTCAAATTACAGACCATATCACCTCACCTTTACAACACTTAAACTTCCCCAAGTTTATTATCACTTTTTAGCACTTCTTAGTAGTTTCCCTTTTTTCGAGGATTTCTTTATAGCCGCTTTATTTATTGCAAATTGAAAAGTGTCAACTGAAACTGCCAAAGCCTATAAATCAGTCTTTAGCAAAAAAAAAAGAAAGGCGATGGCAGGCAAACAAAAGAGAAACAATGTAATAAGACGCAGCATAAACAAGAAAGCCAAGAAAAGGCAGCAAACAGAGAGAAATGCAAACAGGAAGAAAAGCGCGTAAATATTAAAAATACTACCACATGCAAAAATGAAAAGGGTATAAAGCAACAACAACAACGACGACGACGGTGCCTGATGAATGACATAATGGGCGTAGACAGAGAAGGAGCGAGTGAAGAAGAAAGGGACGGGGATAAAAAGGGGGCGGTGGGCGGACAGAAGTGCAAGTAGTTTATGGATTTTTGTTCTATGCACTTCGTCAACGTCGACGATTACAAACGATACCACCACGCCTGTCACACATAGTAAACATTGTAGTAAATACGTGTGACAGAGAAGGGGCTAAAGCTGCAGAAAGAGAGAGAGAAAGCGTGGGAGAGAGCAACTGTCGAAAGAGGAACCTCCGACAGCTTGACCAAGTTTACACCCGCTATATAAACGGTTAAGCCTTTACAGTTTTAGTTAAGTGCAGGCTAAACATAGTACCAGTATTACATAAATACGACTGAAATCTCTAGAGAATTCCGCGAATGGCTGCTTAGAAATCTCTAGAGATTCAAGAGTCTCTGGATTGTTTTCCCAAAACTTTTGGTTAAAAAAAAATTCATGAATGAATTCATTATATTGAACTGAGTTAAGATTACGAATATGATTTATTGGTCTCTAGAGATTCTGAGGAAACTAAGCGAACTAAGCGATATATTGCAATTTCAAACGAGGCAGATACTGCCGAGTCCTAAGCTTAAAGGATTTTCGTTAATTATACTATACCGGATCCTTAGGGAATATGTTTATGTACAAGGTATTGATAGTAAAATGTTTGGCTAAAAATGAAAGACTAGGGCACCCATTATGAAAGCATTTCTTACGCACACCCACTATACAAACATACATAAATGCTTTAATATACAGGCATATTTAACACATAGAAAAAGTGCATACTGAGAAAAGTGCGAAATAAAATTGCAAAGCAGACTGAGGCTGGCTGACAGAAAGCTGCGACGACTGAAACCATTCACAGTTAGGCACACGCACATAACGGTGCATGTCAGAGACACAGCAAAGCACAAACGCACATATACAGCCACGCCCTAAGGTGGGTGGCATACAGAGGGCGGCGGCGGAGGGATGGAATTGTGAGTGCAAGTCTGTGATTTACTCGCTGCTCTCCTTCCCTCTCTCTCTCTCTTTTGCATTCGCCACTCCGCACTCTTCCCACCCACTGTTTGGCGGGTCATTGAACTTGCTCGCTAGGTGGCGCTAAAGTGCAAATGTGCAATTGCGTACAGTTGCCCCCATTGTTGTTTTTGTGATTGCTCGAAATGCACGTAGAAAAAAGAGTCCAACTTTTTAACAAAAAATATGTTAATCGTCTCAAATTATACCACATCTAGTCGTTAACAGATACTTTAATCAAACTAATAATGATATATTGAAATGCTCCTAAGTCAATAGTTAAAACAAAAAATTGTTTTCAATATTTCTTTATATTTAGTAGATATCAGTTAATTTGAATTCATTTAAGAATTTCTCTCAAGATAATGAAGCCTCTTTTGCAATATTTCGCTCCGTGTGAAGATTTAGGCGCGCCCCAGCTGAACTAACCTACATTACGGTGGTTGGGGGGTGTTCACTGTACACAGTACACACCTTGCCCAGACAGCGAACAGAGAGAAAACTGGAAAATTTTCTATATACAATACAATATCGATTCCTTTCCAGTGGCCAACGAAGAAAAGCGCGCGCCAAACGCAAAGTTACCCCCGAAAAAAGATGGGATACTAAAGTATGGTATGGATTGGTTCGGGAATGTGGGGATATGCCTGCCATACAGGATAGGATGGCGCCAACATTTTGTTCGCCTTCTGCTGATGGGAGCCCACACCACTCGCTCAGCTGTGGAAAGTTCTGCGTGTGAGTGGCATTGGGGGTGGTTCAAGTTTTCCGGGAGCTGGTTTATGGCTCCCGAGAGTGTTTCATTGCCATTTCATTTCCAGCGTTTTTGGCGTCTGTCTGGCGCCTGGTAGGCAGCTGTTTCACAGCCGATGACGATTCCGAGTGGAACGATGGGTGGTAAAGCCCCCCCAAAAAAATCGCCGTTGTAGAACCCCTCCCTCTCTATATGAAAATGGGCATTCAGCCTGGCAGCTGCGCACTGCGATTCTTGGCCCGGCAAAATCCGTTTTTCTTTTGCCCTGATAGCCCGTGTATTTTCTGGGCACAGGGGCGTGGCACCGGGCGGGGGCGGTGGGTGGAGGTCGTTGGGCATTTGGTTCGGTTTGGTGATGGTGCAGTGCACTAGGCCATTGGCATCTCGCAACCTTTTGCAGATGGGAGCAAAAAGCGGGATTGCAGCTGGAGATTTTGATGCGACGCAAAACTTCTGGGCCATGCCAACACCCAGTTTGGGGTAAAAGTTTACATAAACCAAGTATGTATATAGATAGAGCACATAAGTGCTATATATAACGAGTTTTATAAGGCCCCCATAGCAGCGCATCGTGTGTAGCCTGTACTTTCAATTGCATTTCGTAGTAAAAATGTTTGCACTACTACTCTGCACACACAAATGCATAAGGAAAATCAGGTGTATAGTGTACACGCATGTAGCGGCAGCCACAAAATGCAATTAATGGAGCCACGCTGTTTGTAATCTAAATTATTTTTATGCTTCAGTGGCTAAATTTAATTAAAAACCGCACTTTTGCCTAATTACTTTGGGAATTTAGTTGTGCTCAAAGGGTTGTTAAATTAGAGGAATTAAATCAGGGTTTTATGCATAATTGACAAATATTTCCAGTTTTGGTACCAAATACAAATAACATTAAAGGAATAGACAAAAACCCAATATGCATTGAAAGCACATTAGAGGTGGAGCAAATATCGATAGATATAATTCAACCGTTATTCAGGACGATAACTTATCGGTAGTAGGCATTCAAGACTTTCTCAGAAGAATGCAGCAGCAAAGAGAAAGCAGTGACAAAAGCAACAACCTAGCCAAGAGCCAAGGCAAAAAAAAGTATAAGTGCAATGGATCAATTACTTTGTGGGCAGACAGAGCGGGATGGTGATAGTCGAGTTTGTTTGTGTGAGTTTGCAAAAATGTCGGTCGGTCGTTGGTCTATCTATCTCTAGCTCTTTCCCTCTCTGTCTGGCTACTTTTTTTTCTGTTGATTATATGGAATGCCGTCTCGCCGGATTTAATGACTTTGTTGCATCGTAACGGTGTTTTTCATCAATGACCAAGTCAAGATCGCTGTCTGCTTCTCCCCTATCTTTTAAACGTCATTATTACAGTGTCCGCCGCTTTTTCTGCCAGTGTGTGTGTGCTTTTAGTTCCGTTTTGTATTGATTTATAGCTTGTCAGTTGCAGTAAATCATTTTAAGGTTTTTGCTGTAAAAATAACAA